CATGCTAACACATTCATATTAACAGTGAGAACCTTTAATTGGAGGATTTTCAAATGGAGTTTCGTGACGTGACGTGAACAGACTGTAGCGAGTTAGCTCACTGTTAGCTCCCTGTTAGCTTCCTGTTAGCAGCCTGTTAGCTCCCTGTTAGTCGCCTGTTAGCAGCCTGTTAGCTCCCTGTTAGCAGCCTGTTAGCCGCCTGTTAGCTCCCTGTCAGCCTCCTGTAGGACGCCCGGTAACTCGGGTCTGAACCGTGTCCCTGTCCGCGCTGCAGAGACTTTGCTCGGTCATTTACAAACCGTCCGGTGGTGTTAGCTGTTAGCACCTTAGCTAGCATGCTTCACACAGGCGCGTTCATGTGAAACCGGGGCGGGAATGCGCGATGCCAAACAGCAACAAGTGTGATCGCTAAATAAAAACAAGTAATAATTAGATTGAGTTCAGAGAACTCAGTCAAACTCGTTGGATTTATTATAGTTACTGCTGAAGGTTTTAGAAAAGTCACTTAGACTTAATATGAATGTTTTAATATTTAATGATAAATTCATAGAACTGAAGAATAATAAGTGTTCATCATCATCATCATCATCATCATCAGGGGCCCCGCTGCCTCATAATATCATTATTGTCAGCAGTAGTAGTAGTAGTACTACTAGTACTACTAGTATATCATCCTGACATTTTGTTCACAACATACTGTAAAAGTGAAAATAAAAAGTATAACGTGTGATTATGAAGTAAAACCTTGTCACATGCTTGTCGATCCAGTCGTGACCCATGAATCACCTTGTGTTCATCTGACGTCTTGTGTTTGACCTCTGCAGACACGATGGCCGGAGACGACCACTACCTTCATTCTAACAATCAGGTAAACTCACCTGTCACCGTGTGTTCGATTCCTCTGTTCAGCCGATGTCACTCACACTCATGATGACATCATAAATACAGAATCTACAGAATACACAGTGATCTGATCCCAGATGTGTACTTTAATATTACTGTTTACCTCTGGTCCACCGACATGTTCCGTCAGTGTCCAGAGGAGGTTCACACGTTCTTCACTCCAGTGGAGTACAAATACTTGTGTTAAAGTATAAGTACTGATTAAACCTGTCTACGTCAGCAAGAGTATACAAGTATAAAAGTAAAACGTTTCCCCCTGAAGGTTCATTTCTATCGACTGTGCAAAACAAACTGAGACTCTTGTCACATTAATATTGTGTACAGATGTTTCACTTACTCTGACTTCAACGATGTGTTGAACTATAATTATTAATCCTCTGTCAGTAAACATCAGTTTGGACAGTTAATGTTTGTCTGACTTCAGATCTTTGTTCGTGCAGTTTTCAAACCGTCTCATGGTTCATGTCTGTTTGTTGTTGGTGCAGATTTTCGACAACATGGTTATGGATCCATCGTGGGAGTTTACAAATTTTCCTGCCATGTCTCAGACCACGTCTCTGAGGACAGGTGAGTCTCACTTCTACACGTTGTGTTTATTCCACTGCTGGTTTTATTCCTCCTCAACGGCAGCACGGAGGGTTTCAGGTTCTTGGTCTGTTCCGTTCCTGTGAACACGATATCTCAAAAACACTTTGAGCGAAACTTTCGCTTAGTCCAAAGATGAACTGTTTAGAATTTGAGGTTCAGAGGTCAAAGGTCACTGTGACATTCTATCTTCCCAAGATAATTCTCTCAGATCGAAGCGTTCCGTTCCACTCACGTATTAACAGATTTGATTCTGGAGGTCAAAGGTCATGGTGATCTCATGTTTTTAACATGATTTATGAGAGAAGTATGTGCAGTAACTGCTCTGGTTTGTTGAGACGTAGAACTACGTCTCAGACGTTGTGATTCTGGGAGTCAGACGGTTTAAAGAATAGATGTTTTTATCTTGACCTCCACCGAGGATCCTGCGATTTATTCTCTGTTTATTTGTTAGTAAAACCACTCAACCAATTTCCATGAAATGTCCTGGAGGTGTGGAGCATGAAGACAGAACTGTGCACCTGTGCAGGGTCCTTCAGACGTCAGCTGGGTCGAAGTACTTCATCACTGTCATTATTGCTGTATTGTTCTTTCCTCAAACCAGCTGATGGGGGTGTTGCAGTGTGGTGGGAGGACCTGTAGTCTGTGATGGACTAGAAGCATTGAAACGAGCGCCTGAGTGAGTCGGTGACGTGTCTCTGGATTTTCTGTCCATACGTTTTGCTGCTCTCCGGTTCAAGTGGGCTCGAGCAGATCCGGACTTGAAGGCAGCATAACGTGCTCTCAGAAGCTCGTGCACCTCTCTGGGGATATTCTTGATGGTGGTAACATCTTCACACTCTTGGATATGAGTCCCATCACAGACTCAGCATACCCCCCCAGGTTGATGTGTTGATTGACAGTGGCTGCCTCTCTGAACACATTCCAGTGGCCACAGATGGTTGCTTCTAGTTAGCAGTGGTCCGTATGCAGGGATTAGCATAACAGAGAGGTGGGGGTGGGGGGCTGCCCTGAATAGCTGAAATTGATGTGGGCGGCATCGGGCATCACAGAACTTGGTGGAGACAATCACACGTGTTCAGAGGACTGATATTTATGATTTGGTGCAGATCCAAATAAAAATCCAGATCTACTGAGTTCAGATGTGGTCTCATGAGGTAAGAGCTCCACTGAGTGATGCTCTAGTTAATATGTAAATATCTGTGTGTAGTTTCCTTGTGTTTAAGATGGATCTGTGTGTTGACACGTCTTTCTGGGATTAATGGCAGAGCTGTAAAGTTTGAGTGTTAAATCATTTCAGAAAATGAGCTCAGTGATTCAGTGACAATTGTCTGTAAATCTAATCCGGCTGCTTTAATAGACACACTGACGAAATATCAAGAAATACAGACTTGATTTAACACGAGGAGTGAAACCCCCGGCTCTTCACTCTGGGCTGCTTGCTTTGAGCTCACTGGTTTAACAGATGTTGAGGAAACACTCTTTCAGTTTGGAAAACGAATGTTCACTCAGTGTTTGAATATAAAACAAATCAAAAGTGATGAAGTTAAAGTGAAAGAGGACGTGACGTGTGAGTATCAGTTAACTGTGGTGAGTCTCACTTCCCTGTTTGTGTTCACTTTGTGAAACTGAGTAAAGATGTTCGGGTGAAAATCACAACATGGTACATTGCAACTGAAACTCCCGACTGTCACTGAGCTGTGAGTTGGTTTGACAGAACACTGTCACACTAACCAGACAAACCAGGCCGTGGTCAGAGAGTCTGATGTTTACCACAGAGCGGTGGTCACTGCGCCACACATCAATGTTACGAACTGTTTCTTCTAATGTAGTGAATCTGTTGTTGAGTTGATGTGTTCAGTTCCATCAGCATCTCTTGTCCTTGTGTCCTGGAGACGGATCCTCACATGTGACTCTGAGCTTCAGTTACTGCTCAGAAAGTGTCTCTGTAGTTTTAACTTGTTGAGTGAAGGACAGAGGACGTTGCTTGCTGAATGTGTGACATTCTGTGTCTGTTTTCAGCGGACGGACCCTTCCTGCAGATCCTGGAGCAGCCGAAGCAGGTAAACATCACCTGAATAATCACAAGATGTGAGAGGGATCGTGATGCAGGAGATTTGACTTTACAAAGGTTCATCATCATTATATAAACTCTATATAGACTCTGGCTGGCAGAGGCACACTAACACCTTCAGGGCTGTAACTCATTTAAACAGTGAAACGATCTGAATCAAATGTCTGCAACAGACTGACACTAAAAAAAACAAACCTTTATTTTTTATTTCATGCATTCACAGAAAAGTAAAAATGATAATTGTGTGTAAAATGGTAAATGAATGGTGACCTCCTGCAGAGTCCACTGTTTTTTTTAAATAACTAATTTTCTTCAACTCTGTCATCATGAAATAAAAGCGGGACCTGTTTGTGTGTCTGTCAGCGAGGCTTCAGGTTCAGATACGGTTGTGAAGGTCCGTCTCACGGCGGTCTGCCCGGAGCGTCCAGCGAGAAGAACAGGAAGACCTACCCCACCGTCAAGGTAACACTTCCTGTCCGTTGGTCCTCTTCTTCCCTGAGTCGTCATGACTCTCTATGTTGAGCTGATAGTTGCTGTAAACGACCAATCACTGTCCATGTTTATACCAGATACTCGTAAACATGAGGAATCAAACATGTGACGTTTGTTTCACTGCGACGATGTGATGCGGTCCTGTTTACGTTTGAATGGATTTGTATCTGTGAAGATTTTTACAGAAGTCATTTTGAAGTTCTCACTGTGGATCCAGTTTCCTGGTTGTTATGACACTGTCACAGTGAAGCAGCAGCTGAACGTTGATGTTTAGTTTAGAGTAGAACTCCCACATGTTACAACCAAACCAGAGCAGACGGGAAATCCCCACATTCCTGCCACAGTCCGACTCTTTGCCTCCACTGTCTGACTTCAGAAAATCTATCATCAATCCAGAGTTCAAACTCTATTTGTCACACAAACATGCGACATCCAGTGAAATCTCTTTGACCTAAAGATATGATAAGAAGAAGGAAGACATAAATACAAATCTATATAAAGTGAATGTGTTTCACCAAATGTTCATCCTAACTGTCGGAGTCCTCAGAGTAAACACTAAAACATTTAGTCGTCACTGAGGTGGATTTTTCTTCACTCATACTCTGTGATGTTCAAAGTCGCTGAAACACCTGAGAGCTCATCTTGATGACAGTGAAACGTCTCCACACCCAGTTGGTGTCTAGATGAGGAAATAAAACTTTCTCTGATGTGATTAGAAAAATTCTAGAACAAAGCTGTCGTAAGGCGGGAAAACCCCTCCTGAAGTTCTGGTTGGACGAGTGGAACAATGATGAGGAGGAGGGTGATACTCATAAATCAGTCAATTTAAATAGCATGTGTTAGTTTATAATCTGCTTTAATCTTCACTGGCTTCAAAGGTTCAGTGTGTAGAATTTAGTGACATCTAGTGTTGAAGTGTCATATTGCAGCTGAACACCATTAAATCAAACTGATCAGAAACACTTGAACAAACATCAGTGAGATCTCTGCTTTCAGACTTAATGTGAGTCGGTAGAAACAACGTCACACACAACAAAAACAAGTTCAGTTCTATGGTAAAGAGGCTTTTGAAGAGTCTGCAGGCCCAGACCTGCACCCACACACACACACACACACACACACACACACACACACACACACACACACACACACACACACACACACTGTTCTTCATGTCTGTTGGGAATTTCCTCCCCTCACGTAATTAGAAGGAAGTGCAGTTACGTCATAAACAGGAAAGGTGTCTCAGGCGCAGATTCAAGCTTTAACCCAGAAACATCGACACACTTAACCCTTCGCTGCCTCGTCAGGGATAAAAACATGATAAAACATCTGACGTTGATGAAACTGAAGCAACAAATCCTCATTGTTTAATCAATTAATACAATCTTCTTCTTGTTCATAAAACCCTGTGACGTCCTCAGTGTTCACACTAATCACTTATTTAATTATCATGACTGAGCTTCAGAACAACGATGCTTAAACCTCAGTTTGATCAAAGTGAGTCTAATGTGTGAGTGTGAATGTGGAGAACGTTTCCTCCTTCGCTCCCTGAGTCTGTTCTCTCTCTCTGCTGAGTGGGTTCATCTCCTGAGAGAACAAGTGACTGAGAGTCTCCATCAGCTCCAGTGGAAGAGTGAAGCTGAACTGAGATCAGTTCTTAACAACCAGAGTTTATCTCCAATATCTTCACACCTGGTTTGTTTCAGACTCTGAAGCTGAACTTCAGGTGTGAACGGTTCCTCAGACCAGAAGAGGAGTTCTGGGTCTGGATCAACCTGAACCTGGTTCTGTTGGTTCACAGTGAAAACACTTTGTTGGACAGTTTGGACTTTTGGACCAATCACAGGAAGTAGAGACACATTAAACCATAGAAGAAGAAGAAGAAGCAGCTGCAGTCTTCACCTGCGACGATAAAATGTTTGAACCACGATGACGTTCATGTGGTGTATTTGAACTAGTGTGAGTACTGTAGTACTGTGGAGTACTGTAGAACTATGTACTACTGTGGAGTACTGTAGAACTGTGGAGTACTGTGGAGTACTGTAGAACTGTAGTACTGTGGAGTACTGTGGAACTGTGTAGTACTGTGGAGTAC